CAGGAGAAGGTAGCAAAGATCCTGCTGTGCCACAAGGGGATGGATACTGTTGAAGAAAACTGAGAGATTTTCCTCTGAGGGTGACCACAGGAGAGGTCCTTGAGGGATGACTGCTACCAAAGCTTTACCTAGGAAGCAGAAGCATACAGTGCTCAGCCGAAAGCTGCTGTTAGGAAAGGTGAACCTCATGTGCCTGTGCTGCTGCCTGGCCACATACAGTGTGAGTTCTGAGCTCTGCAGCAGTTTAAGAAAGATGTTTCTCCTCAAAAAGGGTTAATTTGTTAGCTCTTACCAACTGCCAGAGCTCTGCTGGGACTTCAGGTTCATCTAGTGTCACTCTGGGCCCAAGTTAATGAAGCCGACATAGTTTGAGACATCTGCCTTCATTATGGTAATCAAAATAGCTTAAATCCAGTGTCTACCTATGAGGATATTCAAATTTAATTTTCCAACATTCACAGTTGCAATTGTACTCGATTTTGCTAGTATAAGCTGCAGACCATTTCTGTGCTGGGCTTTTGGGCATATAGAAACCAGTGTGGGTATTAACCAGCTTAGTCCAATTAAAGGACCTTAATGCAAGTCTGTTAAGGTCCTGATTTGTTAGGCTTGACTACATTTCCAAAGAAGGAGCACAATTGGGTGAATTTGTTATCTAAAGCGTAAGCTTCAAGTCCTTAGTCATCCTTGCTAAAGCCTTCCCCAAACTGGTCATGGTTTGCACTACCTCCGCATCGCTGCGGTCCAACGTCAGTATAATCTGCTCTTTAACACAGAATTAAAATTAAAGCCAAAGGACACAGCTGCTTTCGTCTGTGTAACACTCATTACAAGAGATTTAAGGACAGAATAACAGCAAGGCTTCTATTCTCAGCTAGCAGGCAGGAAACTTTGCAAGCCGGAAACGCATGCCATGAAAATGGGGCAGCGGTAGGTGAACTGGATTAGGAAGAAAGGGAAGGAGCAGATCTGGGATACTCAACAGAACCTTGCTCTTTTATTACTCTGTGCATTCTTCTACATCACTAATTAAAATAACTATCTTTTTCTACAAACAATTCAAAACAAACTGCACAGCTAAGTACCTAAATAAACCACGTAGCACTCTATCCCAAGAGCAGGGTATGCTTGTATGTATTTGCAGTGTTCCCTCATCCAGGGCTTTGCATAACTGCAGTGCTGCAGACTGGATACTGGAACTAGAGGGGTGACAGGGAGGCTAATACCCCAGGTAGAAGCTGACTACAATGCAGGCCTGTCCCCGAGGAGGGAGCCCCACCTTCCCCGCTTACAGCTCTGAAACCAAACTTCTCAATACTGATATTGTGCTCTTCTAAAGCAAGCAAGGCATCTTAGCAGCACTAAAATCTTCTGATTTTATCCCTGCGTCATTATCTGGACGTGGTTAGACACAGCCACCCAAATGGAGTCCACACGAACAGTGACAGGGGACTGGGAACCATCAAAGAAGAGCTCTTCAGCTAAAAGCACAAACTTGCAGCTTCACTCAAAACTAGGATGAGCAAAAATAGTGCTTCAGCATGCTCTTATGCTTTCAACCATAGCTGAAAAATGCCAGCTACACYTTAAAAGCCTTCAGTTTCAGTATCCTAAGCCTATAGACTTCTGCAAGCTAAAAGGTTCACATATTGTTTTGTGTTGTAATGTTTGAGGTTTCTCCAAGGCCAAACATGACTGGAAATTTGCTCTTTCTTCTAATGACCAAAGTTACTGCCTTCAAAACACATTGCTGCCACCACCACACAGCTCTATTTGGCCACTAGATGTCCCTTCCGCACTGCACAGATTCAAGCAAAGGACATGAAAACAGATTTGAGAAAAAATTCATACACGTGTAGTGCTGCCGAACTAATGCAATAAGCACAGTCTGAAAGGTTGCAGGGCTGTGCCAAGCAGCACACTGAGCACTTCACTGCACCACTAGCACATCACAGGTGCCATGGAAGCGCTCTGCCTGCAACCCAAAACTTCAGGGTGGCTCCTTCAACCTGGCAAGTCACACAAATTCCAGACTCAACACTCTGAACACCCTAACTGCACTTTCTGGGCACAGTAAAATTAGTTTTCCATCACTGCTAATGAGAACCACTAAGTAAATCATGCTGCTCACCACCCAGACTTGATGAACTGCAGAGCATCCAGCATCTGTCACGGGGCAATCCTGGATAGCAGCAAAGAAACAATCAACAGGAAAGATGGAGCAGAAGGGCTGCTCTTGCTCACTACTCCGAAACTGTGGAGAAATGTGATGGATGGCCAGAGTCCTGACCCAGCAGCACTTCCCTGGAAAAGGGACTGATTTCAGACAAAACTGTAGTGTTCAGGAAGAGGAATTGTCAGCTCAGTCACACAAAGTCAGAATTAACACCTATTTATGAGAATTTCATAGAAAATAGCTGCCTTGGTTAAGACTTTACATAGAACACATACTGCATATGCATAGATGTAGGATGTAACTCTTCCACTGATGCAGCCCTGGAAGCCTGGCCATTAGGCGCCATCCTGTGGCAAGAGGCTCTGGCTTCTGCAACATGCCCGCCACAGGGATCAAAAAGTGAAAAGGATTCATGTCATTCATACAGCTACAAAAGGGGAAGGAAGTCTCTGAAATCTTGCCTTAACTGAGAAATCATGGGGAAAAAARCAGGTTCTGTTAAAAGAATCACTTCTACAGAGAAAAGAGATCTTACTGCAAAGCATCTAATCAAGTAACACCAAATAACAGCACATTTGGAGAAGAGTGTTGTATCTGTCTGCAGATTATAGGAGGTTTGTGGTTAGAATGTGAGAGGTCAAAGATGAGCCAGACTTGCCTGAAGYCTGAAAACATCTACCTTGCTTTGCAACAGCAATAGCTTTTGCAGGGATTTTCATAATGTGTCTCATTTCCAATAGGAACAAGCTGTAAAGGCTGTAACAAGGATATCCAGCACGTACATTGTACCTGAAGTTGCTTCTGCAACATATGAAGTAGTTCACAAGACATACAGATCATGCTGTAGTAAGAGATATGGGTGCTTCAGCCAAGATATCCCTAAGAAAAGTTCCAGAAGTGAGGCTGTAACCACACAGGAACCTTTTGATCTATGCAAGACCCCACTGGAGGACTGCAGGTCAGCTCTAAGCCCCTTTGATCCTCTTCCACTGCTTACAGCCGTCTCAGTGGAGGCAAATCCCTTCCAAGGGGCCCCTCTCGGCAGATGGGAGGATGAGAATGCTGATCAGCTAACAGGAAACAACTAACAGAGCGTAAGAAAAGATCTCAAGGATTTTCTACTGAAAAGTGTTACAGAAGGAAGAAAGATGTGTCCAATATGTTGCCTGGATCTAAGAGKATTTTGAAGCTTTTCTGAGTATTGAGAGGCCTTTTTTTGTGCTATTTATGTTAAAAAAAATCAAAATGTTTATAATCTCTCTTTTCACTATGACTATCACTGCTTAAAGGGAACCACGAAGGCCACTGGAGGGCACTACTGGGCAGTTTTCAACTCTTCAAGCCAAACAGCAGCTTTGAAAGACAATCATTAGAATTGGCTTGTTTGCTTCAGCTGTCTGCATTGCAGAAAACCTGAGATCCTGCTGATGCCTAAGGCCCTTTGCAGGCTCTGGGGAAAGGCAAAAGGATCAGCCAGTRCCAAAAGAACCTACAGTCTGAGCCAAAGGAAGGAACTGTGCCACAACAGTGCAGGTAAGCAGCACAGCTTCAAAAGGAGCCTTGCAACACAAGAGTTTGCACTGTGCGAAGGCCAAACGGGGAGTAAAGAGGATTTTGGAAGAAGCTGTAGCTGGACCTGAAAAACAAACACATCTAGCTGTGCTGTGTGAACACCCACAGCTAGTGGGTTCTCAGGCAGAGTGTATCCTCCAAGTCCTACCACAAGCTGTATACGACACCTACCTCTTTGCCATGGAAATCATACCTTTGAACACTGCATAAATCAGCAAGCATTGCTTCTTTCTCTTTTCAGATGTAATCTCTGTACTCTCTCACAGTCCTAATGCATACAGTCTGCTTCATAATGAGGCCGCTGGGAAAAACTAGGCATTGTTACTGCAGTAGGAAGCATGAAGCAAAATGAATACAGTCCATGCAAGTGTCAAATGTTGAGGAATAAATGATTTTCTCCAAAAAAGCAGGGGGATGGACTCACTTACGTGCATTTTCACCTTAATGAACTCTCCATTCAAGTATTCTATTATCTCCAAATCTATTCTTACCAGTTTAAAGACAAGAGACAACTGTACAGGAGAGCCTCATGTAAAATTACCCAACCCAGAGCCTGGGGAAGCTGCACAGCTAGCTTCAGTACCTCAGGCCTGCATACTCACAATTTTCTAGGCCATATTTCACACCAGTACTAGCATAACCACCGAATGAGCCAAAGTGAACTACAATAGCAACCATCTCCTAGCTTAAGTTCTATTTTAAGAATATTTCACAGACTGAAACTCCCACTTCTGAGGCAATTATTTCTTCTTCCCCAATACCCCAGATTAAGGGCTTTATCTGCATTGTGTGTACAAGAGCAGCTGGGTCCAGGATCACCTGAGTAAGAGGGTCTAGAAGCCTTGCAGCACACACTGCAGCAGACACTGGTAGGCGGGAAGAAACATTTTGTGTTGCTGGGATGCTAAATCCTGACGTCTCTACTGCCATCCATTTGTTATGTTGCTTAACAAACCTTGAAAGACAAATACTAATCTTCACATACTGGTTAATATTAAAGCATGCAGGCTCATTCTCATGCTCCTCAAATGGTTCTTCATTCCAGTGTAAATATTCAATGTATTTCGCATTTAGTACAGAGACTGGACCATAATCAGCAGCCTGCGGCATCTAGAGCTTCAGCATTTTGCTGTGCCCCGAGGGAAGCTCCAGTTTGCTCTGCTTCTCTGAGGCAACACGGCCTGTGGACACTCTACCCTCCGTGTCTTACAAGAGCAGAGAAGAGAAGCTCCTGCTGAAAGCTGATACTGACCTGCAGCAGGAGCATTTGAATCTTTGGCTCTGCTAACTGGCATGCCGAATGTGCGCAGCAGTTCGGGAATATGTCTGAAGCACAATCTGCTTGATGGTTTCTGAAAAGGAAAAGAAAAGTGAAGCGGTTAGAGCATTMCGAATTAATTTTACATCAGCATTATAGGATGAGGTTTAAGAGGTCCAGCTATGATATACCCAAGATTCATATACACAGGATAACCCAACACATATGGAAAATACAGTTCTTTTGCCAAAAGCAGGAAAATAAAGATATGATGCTTAAGTCTGGCTGTGCCTTACACCAGCTATGGTAACACATACCATATATCAACAATATAGTTCCAGCCATGTGACCATGCATTTTATTACATGGAGCTTTCCTAGTTATTAAATACTTTGATAGCAACATATTCACCTCACATCTCCTCATTTTTTCCTCTCAGTATATTGGTAATTTCTGTTAAAATCATCAGGTTGAGACTTCATATTCCCTCCATTCAATATCCACTGTAGTCATCACTGAAGTCCAAGCCTTTTTCACCAATTTTAAAGCTCATAATCCTGCATGAAATCAGCCAAAAGAGACAGAGATTCACTGACTCTACGCAGTAGAGGACTCAGTCTCTTTTCTTCTGTTGCTTCACAGAATTGATATGTTAATTATGAGCACATCCTGCAAGCTAATGCAACCTTGCTGTCAGGGCAGAACAGGTTCCAACAATTTAGGAACCCAAAGAATTTATTTGGGCTCGGACAGTGAGGAATTGCTGCTACAGTGAAGGATGCAAAGCTCCCTGGCTTGTTCATCCATGGTCGGCTGAAGTCGAGCTTTAGGGTGACAGCCAAAACAAACTGCAGAGCAATGTGGGCTCTGCCGTGTCATGGGCAGTAAGGCAGGTGTCAGGTACCCGACCCACAGAGCCTGGCCAAGGACAAAACTGCCACTCCAGATCAGGATGCCAGGAATTGTGAGAGGATTTTAACAGGATGATCACTGGTGACTCGCAGTCTCACTGCCCGCACTGTCTCAGAACACTAATGCCTCTGAATACCAAGCGCATCCCGATTCCCCAAAGTGCATGCTGAGCTCATCTGGCAGCCCAGGAGAGAGCAGGGAAACCCTCATGGAACAAAAAAGAAGAGAGAGAGGAAAAAAAAAAAAAAAAAGCTTTAAACTAGAGGGCTGCATCTGTCATATGARCTTTGCAGCACACAGGGAACGTTACGATGCCAGTGCATTTACAGACATGAACTGAGGTGCACCASGAACACGTACGAAATCAGCCTGGCCCACACTAACAGAACAGTCTTTGTAAAGACCGTGCTCAGCAGTGCATCCCGACTCCAAGACGCCTGGTCCACAGCATTACACACCCCCTAGGCCAGCTAAGGGCATTAAACAAACACACTGAAGAGATGAGAGAAGAATGCAGTTGTCCTGAGCTTCCCACTCTCTGACCACAAAACCACAGTCTCTCATCAAATGGGGAATAAAACTCAAGAGACTTTTTAATCCTCCACCCTGCTCTAATTAATAATCTTACTTTATCAATATTTGATACAGCTGTTATTGTCTGCTCTGACCACTACCCTTTCATATAACGCTTAGTTACACTGTTCTGTCACACTGTCTCCCTCCAAGGTAGCCCAAATAGAAAATGGGGTCACCAAACAGGATGCCTCTCTAGAAGACCTGGTTTCAGGGCTAGGCTCTGAGGTTGGCAGCTTGAACATAGGGAATTAGGTAACAACTTATGTAAAAAGTTCTACCGAGTCTGCCCAAAATGAACTTCCCCCTTTGCAAATCACTATGTACCATTTTATGGAAAAGAAAAATAGTCTTATCAGAAGAATCATATTCGCACATCAGTAACCCCGAGTGTCATAGAGAGCAGTCACTAGACTTACTGGCACAGAGACAATGCAATAAACATGGCAGAAAGTAAACGAAGACAGTAAAAACTTGAAATTTTTGCAAATTAAGTTGTTGGAGGAAAAGGACGACTATCATCATCTTCTAAACATGATAGAAATGCCTCCCTCCCCTGCAACACCTGCATTTGCCCAGATAAGTACATGATTAGATATGCGGCTGTTGCTGCATTTCTGCAGGGTTCAGAGGCTCCTGCTGCCACCCAGTTACTCATGCGAGCAGCTCCACGAGAGGCTGCTTCCCCTTGGCTCTGTGCGTGTAGCTCCAAATGCCATCGCTTCCTAAACAGATGTTAAAATGATCAAGAATCATCTTGATTAACTCAGCAATTTAAAGTGCTTAAACTAATGTGAACTGCTTTGGCAGAAGGCAGCTTGAGAACAATTCCGTGCAGCTCCGAGAGTAAGGCCTTCCAGTCTCCTGTTTAAAATGCAGGATGGTCTTAGGAACCCAGAACACACATTCAAAACCCTCCTTCACTGCAGAACTGCTAAGAGTAGTCCCTGCAGACAAAGGATCAAAATGCAGGGAAAGGCAGCGCAGATTCCTGGATATAGGAAGGGCTGTTCCAGTACGTTCATCAGCGAGGCCCCAGTCCCAAGCCGGGGCAGGAGTCTCTGGGCTCCCACTCAGCATGCAGCCCAGAGGCAGAACTGCTCAGCAGGGAGAGGGGTGGAGTGCACGGAAGTCACATCAAAGGGTTTTTCTGCAACTCAGGTTATGGGAACAAAGTACATGTATTAGCTTGGGAGGATTCAAAGAAAAGCAATGAGTAAGCTTTGAGATGTAATAAACATTGGTCAGCCAGCAATATTGAAGGTAGCAGCACAACCTAGAGCTTGCTAGTTGCCAGCAGACTGTCCCATACATTCACCGTGTGATAGAAAGCCCATGCAGTAACTACAGATTCCTGACAATTAGCTGAGGTTTTGGTACAGGCCCTCAGAGCTGCTGATGCTGCTGGGAACCTGAGTCCTTACACTAAGCTGGCAATGATCATGAAATGACCAAAGGCTGAAAAATCTACACTGAAATAAAACCTGCTTAAGGCACTATGCAAAACAGAAGACAATGTAAGTTTGAGGGAGCTTGAAAGGTAATGTCCTAGCTTTAGCAAGGAGAAAAGATGTGGTTGCTCTTTGTTTTTTCACAGCAGTGATATAAGCACCCTGCAGCAGAAAGATGGAAGCAACATAAGCAAAGAGTAAAAATGAAGAAAAAAAAAAGGAAAAAAAAGTATAAAGTGACAGTCCCCCTGCTAGAGATTTCCATGCTGTAAAATCCCATTTGCAATATTCTCCAAAAGAATACCTTGACTACTACAGGTGGCGAGAGGCAAAAGGATAAGCAGAGGTATAACCTCACGTTGAGTTAAGGTTGCGATAAGCAGCAGGGTAAACATAGGCACATAACCTCAGYGACAGGAGATGCTCACGGATGGGCCAATTAGTCACCCCTTAAGCAAGACAGGTCACAGAACCGTTCAGGCCACTGACAGCCAAAACACCTTCAAGTATGTGGTTGCACTGACGTGCTCCGAGCAAGAAATCTGAGGCTTACTGCTCTTGCTGGGTGTCCACCAGGGCTCTGCGTGGGTTGCAATAGCAAAGACACTAGATCCTCTAATAGCCTTTATCCTGTCACTCTCCTTGATGGTGATTAAATACATAATGTTACATGCCAGACATTTGAAACAAAGGCCCAGATCACCTAAAAAATATCGTCCGGGCAGAGTACTGTTTCCAGGCCAGATTACAGAATATTAGTTATAATGTGACCCAGTCAAAAAAACACTGCTCTAAAGAAAAGAAATCAAGAGTAGAAAGGAAGAGTAAAGAAGTCCAAAAGGTAAGAATCAGTTTGTTTTCCTTTTCATTCCATGTGCCATCCAGTCTTTGTTTGCAGACTTGCATTAGAATGCAGATTTACACATATTCAGACGCCAAACCGAGGCCGTTCTCAGGAAGCACGCTGCTCTGGGCAACTTGACACAGAATTGTTTGCCATTCCTACAAGATAAGGAGGCTTTATATAAGGAAGAAGAGGAAAAAAAAAGAAAAAAAAGCTACGCTATGAAGTTATCTAGATGTTGCTAATAAACTAGAAGAAACAAATGTCTGCAGAATACTTCATTATTTTCCAACAAAAAATACACATTTAAAATAATTATGTTTGGTATCCACTTGTACTTTGTTGCAGTATAATACTAATCCTACCATGTAGTTATTATTAACAATTTGCATTTTAGTAGTTGCTCACAACGGCTGCCTGATTGACCAGACTTGTGGTCCCCACTTTTTCAATAACTATAGAAAAAGGGAGTAGAAAGGCATGGACAAGGCAAATGCTATTTCTGCCTCACCCAGTTAATTTAAATATATGAAAGTAAGTGTGGCTTTATAGTCCTTTAATTATGTATTGCCTCTGAATTATGTATGGAGCAGAGGGCACACAGGAATTCTGGTGGGAAAAGACAGCATTGTGCAATAATACTTCTTGACTCCGGATAAGACATGAATGTGCCCCTACAACATGTTCACTGCAGCTGATCGAAGTGCTGCCATTTTTCAGAAACCCGTGGAGAATCTGTGTACCTGCTCTCACTGCAAGAAACCATCTCATGTGCCTAATAAATTCCCTGTAGCCCTGCAGGAAGAACATGCTCACACTGCTAGTGGGCAAAAACATCCCCTATGTGCTACTGTACTTTTACTGTATGAATACTGTTCAAAAATAATGCAACACAGTATTATTTGCAGACATGTAATCCAGCTCTCATTTCCCTTGGAACAAAGGGCAACTCCAAGTCTTGTCTCATTAAGATTACACAAGAAGTGACGACAATGCCCACAAATCATTTCATCAAGTCCTGCCATCGCTACTTATAGTAGAGCTATCACAAATATAGAGACAAACGCTCAATTTGCATAAAAGCTTTCTGTGTTCTATCTTTAATTCCATCCCATTTCCATTTGCTTTTGTCTTTTTATAGTCTATTTTAAACACAGTTGTGTATCACACATAGATACTTCTTAGGAAAACAGTAACAGACAAATGATTAAATCTCATAGAGCTTTTTTAAGCTGTCTTGTCCTTACCCATTTCACTATTCAGACGTAAATAAAAAATATTCTCCCCCTGCTGCTGCTTCCGACTGGTTCTTGC